ACCCGGCTTCTGACCCATTTCCACTGCTAACTAGCTGTACAGCCTCATATTTGAGCAAGAGGGCCTTAGAAATGGATGGAATGGTTCAGTTCAACCTCCCATGCTGAGCAGAAATTCTTCCTACAAGCTCTTGGTTCATGACTGTCCATTATCTTTCCAAACACTTCCAAGGACAGGAAGTTCACTGTCCTATCAAGTAGCCCAGCTTCTGAGTTTTGTCAGAAAGGCCTGGAAAAATCTTCACTAGGAATTTGTGTCACTTCTGGGGGGTGTGTATGTATAATGGGGGCTTTCCCTGTGGATTTAGTAAGTGATGCCCTCTAATCCTATAATACCTTATGGTAAATTTATCATAGGAAAGCAAACACCACACAGTAGAGTTTTCTTTATTCAAACACAACTCCTTCCCAAGATTTCCACCTATTTCATCCTCAATCTGCTGTCTGGAATCTGCTGTCTTTCAAATACTTGAAGGTGGGGATACATTTCTCCTGCGTCTTCTTGCGGCTGAGTGCTCCTCCTGAAGCCTGGTCTCCAGACCAGTCCCCATCCCAGTCCTCCTTGGACATGACCTCCTCAGTGCATCAGCGCATAAAACCCCAGTGAGGTCATGGAAGGCGCAATCACTGAAGGTTCGCTCCCTGAGCTGGGGTGGTGTTATTCCGGAGTCAGTTTTGACTCACAGCAACCCCACGTGCGTAGAGCTGAGTCACTCCTGAGGGCTTTCAAGGCTGGGACCTCTCAGCAGATTGCAGTCCCGTCTTCCACAGCATCTCCAGGTGGGCTCAAACCACCACCGTTTTAGCACAAAACACTTTTAACTGTTTTTGCTCCATTTCGCTCTCATTGCCAGAGTCAGAACTGACTCACAATTGACCCAGTGGGTTTTCAGAGGCTGTAAATCACATGGGAGGAGATGGCCCATCTTGCTACTATAGAGCAACTGGTGGACTCAAAACCATTCACCTTTGGGCACAATCCCTCTATTAATTGACTTAACCAGACATTTTCATTTCGGTGTATAGGGAGGTGGCAATAGGGGGAACATGATTAAATAATTCATTTCCACAAACCATGGTTTTCTAATTCATGAAAGGGACACAGTAGCTTTGTTATTTGAATTTAGAGTCTCTGAGGCTCTGTCTAACATACTTTGGACATGTTGTGAGGAGAGACTGGTCCTTGGAGAAAGACATCATGCTTGGGAGGGTGAAGGGACAGCGCAGGAGGAGAAGGCCCTCTATGAGGTGGATTGATTCAGTGACTGGGGTAATCGGGATGGGAATGTCAGAGACAGTGCGATTGGCACAGGACAGAGCAGAGTTTAGGGCTGTTGTACATAGGGTCGCTATGAGTTGCAAGTGACTCGACAGCATATAACAACAACAACAACTCATTGTTGTTGAGCCAAAACTGGCTCACAGCTGACCCTCCATTGAGTTTGAGACTGTAAACTGTGAGGAAGGACAGTGCTCATCTTAATCCCAGGGACAATGATGTATCTGAATTGCATTTGGGGGAGCAACGCAACTCCCTACCAACTGTGCTACCAGACCTCACGTCATTGGAATTAAGAAAACGAACTAGAAGTTATTGCTTAAAGCCTCATTCCGTTTAGACAGGTCAAATATTAGGCAGGAGCCCTGGTGGCATGTTGGTTAAATGCTTAGCTGCTTACAGAAACACTGGCCACTCAAAACAGGAGAAAGATCCGTCCATCTGCACCTGTCAAGGTTACGGTCTAGAAAACCCTACAGGACAGCTGTACTCTGCCACTGCAGGTCACTGGGAGCCCACATTACCCTTATGCGATTTTATAAGCATTGGACTTGGAGAATCGCAAAGCCTGGGTTCTAATTCTGACTCTGCCATGTGTTAGCTGTGTGGCTTAGCAGCACTGTGCATTTCCTCCGTAAATCAGGGATCATGATGAGACCAATGCTTTTCCTAATGAGCATTAAAGGGATTGCCTAGCATGCGAGATCAAGTCATGGTCTCTTCAATTACTTCCTGTACCTCTGAAAGCTGGACACTGACTAAGGATGACAGCAGAGTCGATGTGTTTGAGCTGTGGTATTGGAAAGAGTGCTGGCTATCCCATGGACTGCCAAGAAAATCAGCACATCTTGGAGAAGGTGCAGCCAGGGTGCTGCTTGGAGGAAAGGATGATGAGACTCTGTCTCACATACTTTGGATATGTTGTTAGGAAAGGCCAGTCCTTGGAAAAGGTGGAGGTTCCGTGACAGAGAGGCAGACCCTCAACAAGAAGGACTGACACAGTGGCTGGAGCAGTGGGCTCAAGTGAGGGACACTGAGGATGGTACAGGACAGTCGGGCTCAGGCCTGCAGTTCCTAGGGCCGCTAATGATCCATACTCAACTCACCAGCATCTTCCAACAGCAGCATGTGACAACTGTTCAAAAAGTCAAGCTCACTGCCATCAAATTAACTTGAACAAGACAAAGCAGGACTTATCCCTGGAGTTTCCAAGGCTGTATTCTGTACAGAAGCAGACTGCTACATCCTTCTCATTGAAGCTTCTGGGAGCTTTAAACTGCTGGTTACTGTTGTTGTTGTTGTTGTTTGGTGCCGCTGAGTCGTAGATGACTCATAGCGACCCAGGTCTGACTCCAAGTCAGTCTTCAGTACCACAGGACAGGTCTGTTAAACAGCTCCCTCCTTTGGGCTCAACTCCAATCATTAGGAGTTGAGGAGGGACAGCATTCCCCTCCTGGATACCTTACCTGCTTCCTTGAGTTGGGGAGAATGGCAGACTCTCCCCTTAAATGCTTCCCCTCCTGTACACTGCCCCCTCTTCCGCCAGGGTCTGAAAGTGTTGTTGGGGACCTTAGCTACATCGCCTTAGGTCCCCTCAAGGCTAACCTGGCCTTTGATACCCCTAAGTTGCAAGCTAGTTTCACATCCTGACTGGGAAGTGGTTCCATATCGATTGATTAAAAAAAAAAAAAAAAAGCACACACCAAAAAACCAAAAAACACCCCAAACAAAAAATAGCACACCATAACACCGGTCATTTCGGACCTGGGCCCTGTTGCATAATGTCATAACAGAGCCAGCAGTGTTTTGTGTCCCATTATCGCCCGGTCAAGCTTCTCCGATGTGAGTCTGGCTGCAAATGGCTGTCTTCTGTCGGGTTTAGGGGGGTGGCACAGGCCCTACGTGCCCTCCGCTGCTAGAGATTTTATCTTTAATTGACAACTGGCCGCCTGCCACCGCCTCGCCTTGCCTCTCTGGCACAGGCTCCAAGCCCTCATTTTTGTTTTGGCTTCAGGAATAGGCTTCCCCCTTGCTTATTTCTTCCCCTCGGCCCTGCCCTCCTTACCCTGCTGCTTTGAGCTGCTCCAGACAGCTCCCCGAGGGTGCCTGTGCCCTTTCTTGGTGTGACTGGACATGGAGATTGCAAAACTCTGTGGGGGGAAGGGGGGAATGAATGGTTCAGGCCTACATGAGAAAGACGTGGAGGGAGTGAACATTTACTATCCATCCACTGCATGTCATTTGTGCTGGCACTGGGTCAAGGCTCTTCACATGCTCTCTTAAATATGCACTATCATTCTCCCCATTTTACAGACAAGGGAACTGAGGTTGGGGGAGTTGCCTCAATCTATCCAGCTTGTGAGTGGCAGATGAACACTCAGGACTGTGGCTCAAGAGACTCCTAAGTTTATGCCTGAAGACAGGCAAGACAGCCAGGGAACAAATGCACATTCAGGCCAGCTACATAATTTGCAGAGTCCAGTGCCAACCTAGGGACCTCTCTGAGTTATTGATGCCAGTTTGAGGACTAATGTGCATCTGATTCAGGCCATAGTCTTTCTGATCCCTTACTGTGCATCTGAGAGCTGGGCAATGAATAAAGATGACAGAGAAAGAATTGATGCCTTTGAGCTGTGGTGTTTGGAGAAGAGCACTGAACATCTCATGGACGGCCAAGAGAATGAACAGATACATCTTGGGGAGGATGCAACTGGAGTGCTCTTTGGAGGCAAGAATGGTGAGGCTTTGCCTCACATACTTTGGGCACATTGCTAGGAGGTGCTATTCCTTGGAGAAGGACATGATGCTGGGAAGGGTGGAGGGTCTGTGAAGGAGAGGAAGACCCTCAACCAGGTGGATTGACACAGTGACTGTTACAATGGGCACTTGCACGTCAGGAAGTGTGAGAATGGCACAGGATAGAATAGGGTTCAGATCTTTTGTTCATAGGGTTGCTATGAGTTGTATTCGACTCAACAGCACCTAACAACAACAGCACAAACCTGTGGGAGGGTCAGCTCTGAGCCGGTCCTGACTTGATGATGCACGACAATATTTAACAGTGCAAAATACTCAAAATTAAGGATGACAGTCAAGCGTCAAATCAAGCACAGGGGCCTTCTGAGTGACTGTGCAGGTCACATACAAGATTCTGGCCTGTATGTGGCCCTCTGTGAATGGACAGGGATAGCCATGGGGAGAGTTTGCCCACATCTGCCCCAAGACTTCCCATTACTCCATCTGGGGCCCAGAATGTGTTTATTCTCCCTCCTCCTTCCCAGGTGATCTTTGATCTTCATTGCATCAGCCAGCCAGCCAACACTGCCATGACTCTGGCATCCTCAGGGCCTTGGCCTGCACAGAATTGCTGAAGTTTGGGGGAGATGATACAAAAATGAGCAGGAAGAAGGCAGAATTCCTCAAACTGAGAGAAGTCCCTTCTGCCACAGCATAGCAGGGGCCCAGATGGCAGCGGTGGAACACAGGCACACTGCCCGGGTGTCAGAGGTCCTCAATCATAGTCACTTTGTGTGACTTCAAGCAAATTACTTTTCTAGACTGTCTCTTTAGGTTTCAAATGCAAGAGCTGGGCTTTATCAGTGGTTCTGGGTAGGATGGGAGTCATCAGGACCGTGCAGCAGTTCTAGGCCAGAGTGCTGTGTTCTCAGGTGTTGGGATTGAAGACCAGGGAGGTCCCAGAGACACACAGCCAGAAAGGAGAGGCAGACACTTACACAGCAGGAGCATCCAGTCAGCTCCAGATGTCTTTATTGGGGCTCCAGCACAGCATGATAGTCAGAGGCACATGGGCAGGGCATGGGCCCCGGCCTGGAGATGCCTCCAACACACACAGGGGAACAGCTTAGAAAAGGACTGACCAACACCATGGGCAGGGGTGACAGGGCAGGATGGGGAGCGGGGCCGAGGGAGGGGCAGAGGCTGAGGCTGAAGGGGTCGCCTGGCCTCTGCTATTGCACGCATCCTCTGGCCACTGGCCAGGAAGTACAGTATTGCAACTGATCTCTCGCCCGAGGCTTCCCCTTCTCAGACCCCTGAGCCAAACGGGCAGACAGACCCCATCCCTGCCCATCTGCCCAGCAGCATCTTTGAAAAACAAACAGACGAAGGAGACAAAACAGAAAATAAGACCAAATGCCCCCTCAGTCAAGGACACGGGGAGGGGGTGGGAGGAGGGGCGGAGGCTGCAGAGCCCCTGGAAGTCCCCCACAGCTGGGGCGTGGGGTGGGAGGTAGAACCCCAATCTGGGGTGGGGGGCTGGTGAAGCAGTGACCCTGGGCACAGTGTGGCCCTCAAGTGGCCACCTGCTGACAGGAGAAATGCCCCCACGCAGGACAGTCTAGCCTGGGACCACCCAAATGGACTAGCAGTTCCCAGGGGACCTTTTCTTGGGACATTTCCGACACATTTTCAGCAGAATTAACAAGAAATCTGTCAACAGGGGGAGGGAAGGGAGTTTAGGGGTAGAGGCTGGGCTTGGGGAGACACTGCCTAACAAAGAAGACAGACCACCAATAGCACGTGCACTACACACAGAAGTATAGTATGTATGAATATAGATACTATATGTGCATATATATCTCTTCAATGTACAGTAGAACAGATCAGACCCAGATGGCTCCGGGTCCTGAGGGTTGCATGTGAGGTTTCCCGTCAGTCCTCTGCAAACAAGGATATCTGAGTCTTTCCCAGAAGAAAAGAGTCTTGCCTGGTTTCCAGCGTTTCCCTAAGCCTTTGGCTCTCTGTCTGTCTGCCTGTCTCTCTTGCGCTGGTGCCGCTTTAAGAGAGGGTGAGGACTTCAGCCTGGGCATAGTTGGACGAGAGGGCGTCTTGGCAGGTCTCTGTGTTTAAAGAGCACAGGTATGAGACACTGGGACGCACGCTTTCGGCTCAACCTTGCCTTCTGGGGGGACAAGGAGTTCAGCAAAAGAAAGGGAGAAACAGAGTGAGATGTGAGAGGGAAGCCAGCTGCTGCCCCACAGGCTGTGGGCTAAGGGGCAGGCCAGGAGCAGAGCTGGAAGGCATGGGGGGCCCAGAACAAAGAGGCCAGAAAGAGCGGGGATGGGTCGGGAAGTGGGATGAGCCCTTTCAACGCTCCTCTGCCGACCCAGCTCTGAGTTCATTCACATCTGACACTATCATTTGTTTCCACACCTGACCAGGTAATAGACTCACGAACCACCAGCCCTATGTCTTCAAAGCTTCAGTGCAGCGGGGAGAGATCACAGCTTTGCAGCCTGGCACGAAGCAGTGGGAAGGTTCCTACCCGACCTGAGCTCTCTCCCAGAGAGCTCCATCTGCCATCCTACCCGAGGTTATTCCATTGCCTGGGAGGCTGCTGAAGAGGCACTTGAGCCCAAGGAGACTCCTAAGTCTACTGCCATCCACGTCTGGTCCCATTCATCAATCTGAAGGAGAAGAGAGCATGCAGCCCCCACAGAATTCTTAAGGGGAAGGTCAGGAAGGAGGAATGTGCCTGCCTTCAGAGAGGCCAGAAAATAGTATCCTGCTGAGGAGCCCAACCCCTCAGTCACCCCACAGCCCATCTTCAGCTGGGATGTCAATGGCCTGAGTCGTTCTGTTCCCGAGCTCCCCAGCTGGAGCACAGCCACAGGTGGGAGGGCTGCTGTTCCAGCTGCAGAACTGGGCCAACGGTACAGGTGGGATGTCCAGCCCCTCCAGCTCAGTGTCAGGACAAACCCTACAGGTACTAGGTCCTGTGGTCACAGGCTGGACCTCCAGTAAACGGGGGATCAACTTCCAGACTTCACAACACCCATGCTCAGCTGCCCAGTCCTACTGAAAGAGTTTCCACCACTTTTCTGGGGTGCGGGGGGAAGGGTGCTCCCACCTTATTTCCATCTCAGGAGGCCTTGTGCCCTGTCTTACTCTGGCCCTTGGTCCACGTGTGCTCTGAGCCTCTGAGTACTATCCTCAAGAAAACCATGGAAGCTCAAGGCTCTTCAGAGTCCCATTTCTGGCAGCAAGCACTGAGTCATGGTCTTGTCCTGTCCTCCTAGCCTCAAATTTTCTACGTAACTTTAACAATATCCAGATTCTCATCATGCCCAACTCCCTGCCAGAAGCAGTGCCTCTGGGCCTGCCTCTGAGCCACTGAGCCCTAAGACACACTGGTGAGAAGGCCTGCTTTACCAAGGAGTCTTAGGTGGACGGACATGGAGAGACCCTGGAGGGTCAAGGCAAAGTTGAAAAGTGCTAAGGGCCTGGGAAGCAGATCAGCCTGCCTGGGAGTCAGTGGCTTCAGGCTGCCCAGGAACCTCATTCTGGATTCTGCTTATTTGAATGAACAGAGGTAAGGGCTGGGGATTCCAGAGGGTGACACCATTTGGCCAGGACAGAGAAGACCTCTTCTACCAGACAGCTCTGTGAAGGGGTGGCCCAGGCCCAATGGGGTTCTGCCCTCAACTCCCACCTAAGCAGAGCTAGCCTCACAGTTACAGCCGTCAGTAGTCTTCCCCCCCCGCCCCCCACTTTTTAAATTTTCTACTAGTTTACAGAATTCAAATACATTATTTTCAAGAACAAATTAAAAAAACTGAAATTCAAAGAATTTGTTCTTGTCAGTAGTCTTGATGCAGACTACAAGGTCAGATTAAGAATGCCCACCAGGGCTGTATCTCTGCTTTCTGAGAACTAACTATGCATTTTGCTGAGTGATCCAGCTCCAAAGAGAGACCGTGGAGACCTCCCCTCCTCAGGCTCAGAAGTCGGTGGCTTGCTCTCTGCTTTCCCAGGTCTGCAGGGTATTGTCCTAGCTCTGCAGCTGGGACAAGAAGGCAGATGGAGCTCCCCTTAAACAGCTTTAGGACAACCACTGCCGCTACTGGGTTTTGTGGTACAGTGCCAGGCTTCCCATAAATGTAGGAGAAGGCTTCTGACTACAGTAGTGGGTCTAGGGCCAAGTGTAGATCCAAGGAAACACAAATTTCACTCTCAGTCTGTGGGAAGGAGGGTGAGCCTTCTCCCAGTGGGGGTGGCTCCAGCCCTGGGTGAGCCTGAGGTCGTGCAGGCAGCCTCCACTCCAGACAAAGCTTCATGGATGAACAGTGGACGCTATCTCCTTTCCCGGGAAGGCCCAGGGTTCCTGCGATGTGGCTGGGGACCAACAAGCCTGCTCTATTCTCCTGTAGCACGGCCCCCTCTCTCACAGAGCTATGGAGTTAAGAGGCAAGTATGGGGGTCCATCTCCCTAAGGTACTGGGCCTCCTGCCTGGCACCCCTGCGCTCCATCATCGCCCAGGGACATCTGTGCCCACCAGAGGGGTGCCGTGAGCATGCCCATCCCCGTAGGAGGGACGGGAGGGAAGGAGGCGGTAGGTGCCGTGGAAACTTGGGCTCCTGACAACTTGAAGGCTGCCACAGAAATAGTCGCCTCAGTTCCTGGAGCCAGAAAGGCAAGTCCGGAGAGAAAATAGCTGTGGTACTAACACTAAACTGGACACCTAGCTCATCGTGTCCCCATCCAGTCTGGAACTCTGGTGCCAAGGAGCTCGGTGGGGGCAGGAACCAACTTGTCCTCATGGAGGAGGAGGGGCTGTGAGGAGAGAGAGTGCCCAGCTGTCTCCATCCCACTTCACAGGGCTTTCCAGTCCCTTAAAAGGACCTATCGCCTAGGGAAAGGCAGGGAGGTGCACACATGCCCTTGCATCCTCTCTTCTCAATTCTTAGGGGTCATATTACCCCAGAGTAAGTGGGGGCAGGCCTCACAGACTACAGCAGAGCCGGGCATCTCAAGATCCACCTTGAAGAGACCTATCCTGAAGGAATCTTCTCATCTGCGCCTTTGGCTGAGGAAGGTGCTGAAATGGGGGTACTCCTGGCATAAACTTTGCACTATTCCCCTCCTGTGAAAGAATGTGATCTCACCCCCCTTTCTCCTTTTCGGGTAGCTCCTAGGTTTCCTGGCCTCTTGCTGAGTCTTGGGAGTGTGGTCTGGCCATGCCTATCTTTGCCCACCCTGGGAGGAGCTGATAGGGACCTTAGTCATTCCCTCCACAAAGTTGCATAATCTGACTCTAAAAATTGCCAGGCACACAAGCTCTACTGTCAGGTCTAATTCCCATCAGGTGAAACAGGAAATGTTTTGGCTAAGGACGTCCTCAGGTTGAGGAGGCCTGAGAGCCTTGCTCCGTGGGTCCCACTGCAGAGGAGGGGCTCGTGTATGGCTGGCAGGTGGCCCAGGTTAAGCTGCAGCCACCCTGGGAGCGACCAGGGCCATGCGGAGCAGGTGGGGCCAAGCCGCTCCATCTCCACAATTTCCCTCAGCTGCCCCTGCCCAAGGTGTACTCCTGCTCATTGGGTGACTCACAGACCTGTTGTGCTCCCAGGCTCGTTAGGTAAATGAATACACTTAATTATAGAAATTAGATGAGTCTCCAGTTCTGGCAGGAATACAGAGCGCAGAGGCTGGGTGGGAGCGGCAGGTGACTCAGAGGCAGGGCTGGGAGTCTGTGGGGGGGCGGGAGAGGGAAGAAAAACTGTCGCGGAAGCAAAGGAGGCAGCGTAGAGAGAGATGCCATGGCTCCGACAGGCGGGAGCCCCAATGGTGCTGGCTCTGTTTCTGGGTGTCACCTGCTGGGTCTTGAGCCAGTCCTGGGGCTCCAACTCTAGGGACCTCAGCCTGCAGCCCAGGCCAGAGCCAGGAAGCAGCAAGGCCTCTTATCCCAATGCAGTACTGCCCCCGGGCATGGCCAGTCTAAGGCACCAATCCTCAGAGCAGCCAGGTTCCCTTCTGCACCAACAGATGATGCCCCATGTGACAGCTTTGCTCCCTGCTGGTGCAGGGTGGACAGACAGACAGACAGTCATTCAACTGCAGGCTCTTTGGATGTGGTTTAAAACCATGATGCATTTGCTGTGATTAAAAATTTAACCTAGGCATAGCTCCCAAGCAATGCGAACTGGCATCACGTGTGTGTGGACCACCACATACAAGTCTGGCCAGGACCCTGAGAGATTGGTCCTGGGTGGACTGGCACCTACAGCCCAAGAAAGGTTTGGGTGGGTTGGGATAAAAGTCCTAGGAGCAATCTGGGAAGGAATGACCCAGGTGCCTGCTCTTCTACCAAACTCACCAGCTCCCTCTCCCAAGTTACACGTCCCGAAGAGGAGTGAGAGCTGGGAAGTGGAAGGGGAAGTGTGTCAGAGTGCCTGTGTGCTTGTGTCCAGGAGGGCAAGGAGAGGGAAGGTGGGCTAGGGGCCAGAGTGTCCAGGCGGTGGGCTGGTGAGGGGGTGGAAAGGGTGGGAGAGTAGGAGCTTTCTCGGAGGGTAGGGCGAGCTGTATCGAGACGCCAGTGGAGACAGCCCCAGGCTGGTTCCAGCTGCTCCGGCTATGTTGTTTAGACTCCGGGACTTTTCACAGCCTTGGTGAAGAAAAGGCACACAGGTCAGGGGGGCGCAGCTCCTCCTTGGAGCAGTCCCAAAGGATCTGTGCTCCAGGCGAATCTGCAGGGCGGGTGTCCGGAGGTCTGGCTCTCTGATTCCCTGGCCTCTGTGTCCTCCTGGCTCCACAGAACAAACCTGAGGGTCCCTAAACCCTTTCCCCTTCAGCTCCTTCAGAGACCAGTTGCACGAAGACCTCACTTCCCTGAGCCCATTTTCTTCGACCCTGATTAACACTCACCACCTTTCCCCCAGAGTTCACACACTAACAAGTGGGTGGCTACAGGATGAGACCGGATCTGTGCTGGTGGCTCAGTTACTCCTGTTCCTAAACGCAGCCTGAGCACAGGGAAGGGCAGCACAGTGTGGCGTGGGGAAGTTGCCGAGTTGCGCTCTGGGAGTTTGGTGATGCTAATTGCCACACTTGCTTAGCAGGGCCTGTTTCCCAGCAACCCACCTGTTCCCTCTCGAAGGTCACTCTAATTGGCTGAGCTACGTGCTTGTTGCCAAGAAGCAGTGTGGAGGCATCTTGAAAATAGAGCAGCCAGGCCCCACAGGCACCCCAGAGAGAGCTGGTAGGGGGGAAGCAAGTTCCCCTAGGCCATGCATGCACACACGCAACCCCTCCTACCCAGGTGCAGCCTGTCCTCAAAAAGGAGCGGTCCCTCTGCCAACTTGCAGCTACCAGGCCTCCTTTGTACCTCTGCCTCCATCGAGTCAGCACATGGAAATCAGGGATGCATAGCCCTCAAGCTCAGTTTGCTCCAGTGCCTGTAAGCGGAGTGCCCCTGCTCACATTCTAGACCCACCACTAAACATATACCACTCAGAGCAAAGCTTCGGGTCTGTACATGCACATAGCAGAAGTCACTGCATGTTGGAAGTGGAAGTGGGCGAGAGGGGCACATCAAAGCCCAAGAAGTGGGCAGAGAGAAACCAGGGGTCCAAGAGATGTGACCACGCTCTATCTACAGGCATTTAGTGGAGGGCCTCTGGTCCATCTCTTCCCAGGTCTCAGTCTACTGTCATGTTTCCACCACCTAACAACAGGACATCTGCCCAGCATGGCAGGATACACACCTCTCAGGGCCTGGTCAGGGTCAGGCCAGCCTGGAGATAGCCTGGAAACAGTGGTGCTGAGAGGACCATGGAAGAAAGTGCCCAGGAAGAGGCCAGGAAACTGCATGAGCTGGGCAGGAGAGGGGGCACCCTTAGTGGAAAGAAATGGACATCCAATGCTACTCCTGCACCAGCCACTATCCTGTCTCACTCGGCCCACTCTTGGTCTGGGGTGTGCAGCATCTCAGCCCATTTCAGTAAAGAGATCTGGTAAATGGGGGCTAGTTTAGAAGCAGCTGGACAACCCTGTGAAGAGACTTTGTTTTGAGGGGAGTTGAAGTTGGTCCTAGAATAAGAAACATGTTTAGGGAAATTAGGTCATAGAGATTGGGAAAGCTAGAAAAGGGGTTGTCACTGGCAGAAAGAACATCTGGCCTCGAGACCCCTTGTTCTCCATCATGGTTCTTTGGCCACCTTCAGTGATGTCTGTCTTACATTTCAGGCCAGGAATCTCTAGCTCTACCCACCACCTGACTTCTCTGTTCCTGTCACTGGCTTGTGGCCTGGTGATGGAATTCCAGCTTCCCTTGACAGGCAGACAAGGGGCTGCTCTCATTTTTAACTTCCCCTGTTCTATGATACCTCAGATGGAACTATCTCTGCCACCACTGCCTCGCGAGGGCTGTCATATTCCAGGTGCTTCCAGGGTTGGGCAGCCCATCCTGGACTCCAGGATCCCCTCTGCAAAACGGGAGGATGTGGGGCCTAAGGACTTTCGTCTGTACCAGCTTCTCTCCTCACTGCACTGATCCCTCCCTGATTGCTGCTTCAATTTCCTACAACCTGTGGCTTGGGACAGTCTTAGGAGTGTTTTATAGGAAGCCTAGGAGAGGCTGGTCGTGGCCCTATCGAGCCAGGCCAGGAAGGAGAAGCACAGGCTAGAGGAAGAGGAGTGGCAAATAAAGTGGTAAAAGTGGAAGTGAGTGCCTGGGGCTGGGGAGGGGGGGGGATTATGAGTACCTTTTGGAGATCCTGGAAACCCTTCTAATTCAGAACCTAGGAGATTAGAGTGGCCATCCTAAAATCGTGGACGGGTCCAAGGCAGAGGGGATGGTGGCCACGGCTTCAGGGGAGGAGGGGACCGTAGGCTCTGTGGGGGAGACTGGGCAGATTGAGTCCACCGATGAGGGCTCCCCGCCTGCCCCGCCTGGGGAGCCATACCTTTCCGGACACTTCCATCAGCACAGGCATAGTCCCCAGCGCTGAGCAGGAAGCAGGCAGCTGCCTTCTTGTTTCGGTCTCGGGTGCCAGAGCGACGCAGGGCCCGGCGCTCCTCGGGGGTAGGGGAGGAGGCCAGGGGCTGGGTGAGGCCAGCGCCTTCCTCATCTGACAGCACCGTGTTAGCATCTCCGTTCTGCTTGGAGTCTGATGGAACAGACAGAAAGGAGATTTGTGAACAGAAAGGAGATTTGTGAGGCGCTGGCTAGGCCATCTTGTGGGGTTAACTCAGCTCTCATGCCAACCTGGGGTGGGAGCCCTAGCAGAGGAGACTATACTTGGCCTGAAGGCTAGTTTCCCTCCTGGCCTTGCTCTAGGTGGATGGGGGCCCAGTTCAGATATCTTCTAGCAGAGACCTCCCTAGATCTGCTTGCTGGGGCTATCCTATGAGATCAACCCAAGGCAGGCTGCAGAAATCCTTCCTGCTTGGATCTGGCACAGGCTGATATTTGGATGAGTGTGCATTCCCTTGGAGAATGCCTGGCTTGATGGTGGGGCGGGCACTGCCAGGGTAGAGCCTACACCACTGGTTCCCTGGCTCACTCTGCCTGGACAACCTGAAGGCAGTTTCATTCCACAGGCATTTCTGCCAGAGTCTAGTGCCTGAGGACTTAGAGCACTCTCAAAGCCCTCTCTCTTTCCACCTGCCTCTGGGAGAGCACCATGGGGAAGAGGCTTTGATTTCTACTGTGGATTCTTAGCACCAAGCCCCTGTGTGTCAGGGAGCAGCACAGGTGAGCCTGGGCCTTTGTATGTGGAGGTAGGAGTGCGGGTTTGCTCTATCAGAAACATTTAGCAGTGAGGACCAGGCCTAAGGACACTGTTAACATGTCACAGTGAAGCATATGCTGACCAAGTGCATGGCTTATTGACATTGTGATTCCCTCAAAGCACTAAACTGGTTCCAGAGAACAACTGAATGGTCCCAGGACATTAGCCTAGGAGACAAATTCTCAGGTTTCCGGTTTGGTGAAAGAAAGAACATGGTAGGAGTACTCCTCTCCCAAGGTCTTTGAAAGACCCCAGGATAAGAGTGGGCACCAGCATATAGGATGGGCACATGCCAACAGGCCCCAGGACAATGTCCTGGGTACATACACCCCCTTGAAGACTAATCTCACTTCACCATAGGCATGCCAGACTCCTTGGGGAAGTCCTTCCACACCTAAGGTGTGGGGTGCCTTCCTCACTGCTCACATAATACATTCATCTTGCTGTGGTTGAAGCTGGCTCCCTTTCCCCATCTCCTGACAGGTGGAGGCACTCTTGGGATGATCTTTCTGTCCTTTAAGAACAGGATCACATCTCTAGGCTCTCCCTGCAGGATGCAAGTGCCCGTGGTGCCCATCACCTGTCCTCTCCTCATATTATCTGGGTTACTCCTTTCCTTAGCTCTTCTTCATCCCATGTCAACCCCCAGCTCAGGATTCCAATCTAGCTTGTGCCGAACAGAAGGCAGCCTCCCACTGCTGTTACATTATCACATTTATTAGGCCAAGAGACACTAGACTCCAGCTTTTGGGAAGAAGTGATTCATGGATTGATGCACCTTAGAAGAACAGCTGCCCTGTTTGCCAGCCAGCATTGACAAAGCTGGCATTTGTGAAGGGATTTTAACTTCTTAGAGTGCTTTCCTATTTGTCACTCAGTTGGGTCTCATTAAAGACTTAAGGGGTAGGGCCCTGATATTTCCATATCACAGATAAGGAAATTAAATTATGTTCAGAGAGAGAATGTGTCTATGACTGGGCATGCAGCACACCGGCCCAGATGGGCCTTGAATCTAGGGCTTCTAGTCTAAAATCCTATGCATTCTCCATTACGGCCTACATAGAGGGGCTCCTTGCTCCACAGACCCTGATGTTCAGGAAGCTATCAGACAGCCCCAATACTTTGCCTTGATAAAAGCAAGTCTTATATGTAGGGAAGCCCATGGCAATAAAGGGAACTCTGGTGGCCTAGTGGTAAGAACCTGCACTGCCATACAAAGGCATGCAGTTCAAATCTACCAGCTGCTCTGTGGGAGAAGGACGGGCAATCTCCTCCTGTGCAATTTATTGCCTCTGAAAACCCAATGGAAGATCAGCTGTGAGTCGTTCCGACTCCATGGGCACACAACAACCACAGAGCAATGAACCACAAGCCCACATTCGAAAGGCTGAGGTTCATCTGGGACCTTCCTCCGCCACTGGAGGGGAAGGGCCTTCTTACCCAACCCCCTCTCTCACCTGCCCGTTTCCTCTCCACCATACCCTCTTCCCGGGCAGGGGGGCTGGTGTCACTGTAGGTGCTGTCCCGGGGCGAGGTCTCCTCAGACTTGCAGTAAATGGGTGACTCAAGCTGGGGCGGCCGCGGCACGTGCTTCTTCCGTTTCTTGGGTAGCTTCTGCTTGGCCATGGCCAGGGAGTAGTACATGCCGAAGTTGTTAACAATGACGGGTACCGGCATGGCGATGGTGAGCACGCCAGCCAGTGCACACAGCGCCCCCACCAGCATGCCCGACCACGTCTTGGGGTACATGTCCCCATAGCCCAGCGTCGTCATGGTGACTACAGCCCACCAGAAGCCAATGGGGATGTTCTTGAAGTCGGTGTGATCGTTGCCTCGCGGGTCGGAAGGCCTGGCGCCAATGCGCTCTGCGTAATAGATCATGGTGGCGAAGATGAGCACGCCCAGCGCCAGGAAGATGATGAGCAGGAGGAACTCATTGGTGCTGGCACGCAGCGTGTGGCCCAGCACGCGCAGCCCCACGAAGTGGCGCGTGAGCTTGAAGATGCGCAGGATGCGCACGAAGCGCACCACGCGCAGGAAGCCCAGCACGTCTCGCGCTGCCTTAGATGACAGGCCGCTCAGCCCCACCTCCAGGTAGAAGGGTAGGATGGCCACAAAGTCGATGATGTTGAGCAGGTTCTTGACAAAGTCCAACGTGTCAGGGCAGCACACAATTCGCACCAGGAACTCCAGCGTGAACCACATCACGCAGACGCCCTCTATGTAGGTCAAGATGGGCTCGGTCTCCACCTCCCGCCGGAAGCGCACGCTGGTGATGTTCCCCACGCGGTGGATCTCTGTCACGTTGCGGTCGATGTTGAAGGCCTCGTGAGTCTCCAAGCAGAAGGTTGTGATTGAGACCAGAATGAAGAAGAGTGATGCAAAGGCCACCACCTATGGGTGGGAGAGGAGTGGTAGCTATCAGGAGGTGGCATGGATCACCAGGAAGTCGTTAGCTGCTCAGAGGTGAGATTACATAGTGCAAGCCTGAGGTGCAAAGGAAAGCTGAGGGACCCAGGGCTTGAATATTCTGACAGGTTCCTCATCTGGACCCGCCATTCAACACAACAAATGATTGACATTCTCTGTCTACTTACTATAAAATTAGGATGGTACCAGTACCTACCCCATAGTGTTACTGTAGAAAATGAACATTTACAGCAAGTGTGTTGCAGACAATTAAGTGCTCAATAAAGTGCTTAGCTGTGACCTAAAAGGCTGATGCTTCAAATCCACCCAGGGGTGTCTCCTAGTGATCTACGTTCAAACGATCACAGCCATTGAAAACCATATGAAGCTGGAATTCCCTTTGAAGAGGGTCTTTATCCAACTGTTCGGCTGCTTTAAGGCAAATCTTTCCAAGCCTTTTCACCATCACAGTGCACAGATGAATCTGCTCTTAGTAGGAAGCAACTGTCAGGAACTACAGCTGCCCAAGCTTGCCGGTATCAACTCTGCCACCTCCAACCCAATCAGACTGTAAGGTTTCTCCAACTCTAGCAAATACAAATCATCTGGGACTCTTGCTAGAATGTGGTTTGAGTCAAATGGTTTAAAGCAGGACATGTTAGCTTCTATTTCCAACAAGCTCTCTGGTAAGGCTCCTGGTTCACACCAGGCATCATAATTTTACTTAAGGCAGTGGTTCTCAAAGTGAGCTCCTGACAAGCCCCAGCAGCAGCATCTGACACCTGGTTAAAAACAATTGTCACTGAGTAGATTCCCACTCATGGAGTCCCCATGATTGTCCAAGGAAAGCTGGGCTCTAGGACTCTATAGGGTTTTCCGTGTCTGATCTCTCTCTTTTTTTAAAATTTTTTTTTTTTTTTACTTTTTGTTTGTGTACCATCAAATCAGATCTAACTGGTACAGGAAGAGATTGTCCCTCCTTCTCCCGCATAGCATCTGGTGGATTCGAACTGCCTATCTCTGGGATTGCAGTGCAGCTTCTTGCCGCTAGGCCACCAGAGCTCCCTTGAGCTCCTTTTAAAGAACACCACCAGGCCTTCTTTCTGTTCAGCTGTAGCTACTGTGAATTGAATTGTGTCCTCCAAAAATATCTGTCAACTTGACTAGGCCCTAAGTATTATGCTATTATCTTTTATTCTGTGATCTGATTTAATTATCCCAAGTATTTTAAATCCTAACCTCTATGATGTTAATGCTGCTCCATCTGGTTGAAGGTCTTTCTTTGGCTGACCATCCACCTTTCCAAGCATTATGTCCCTTTCCAAGAAGCAGCCTCTCCTAACAACATGCCCAAAGTATGTGAGACAAAGCTTTGTCATCTTTGCCCTCAAGAAGCACTCCAGCTGCCCTTTCTCCAAGACCAGATGGACTGACACAGTGACTGCTGCAAAGGGCCTGTCTATGTCAAAGATGAAGATGGCATGATACAGGACGGGGTTCAGATCTGTTGTTCACAGGGTCATCGCAAATTATACTCGACTTTATGGCACCTAACAACAACATGATGTTAATGAGGCAGGATTAGAGGCCGTTATATTAATGGGGCAGGATTAGAGGCTGTTATATTAATGAGGCAGGATTAATGAGGTTAATCTACAGGATTAGGTTGTGTCTTGAGTCCATCTCTATTGAGACATAAAAAACAGCTTAAATAAGAGAGCAGAGATCCCAACAACATGACTACCACCAAGAAAGGCCCTGGAGCAGGGTGTGCCCTTTGGGGCCAATGTTCTTGTACTGAGAACTTCTTAGACCCTGGGGAAACTGATGTCAAGACACAATGAAGATCTCCCAGGTACGCCAGACTCACAACTGTGGAGACAAGGACCTTCCTCCAGAACCAACAGGGACAGAAAATTTTTCCCTACAGCCAACTCTGAATTTAGAATGCTAGCCTCCTCAACTATGAGGAAATAAATTTGTTTGCTAAAGCCATCTACTTCTGGTAATTCTGTTATAGCCACATTAGATAACTAAGCATAGTCTAGTAATGTTGTTGTTGTTGTGTACTGTTGAGTCAGAACCGACCCAGAGCTGACCCTCCAGTGTGTTTTCAGAGACAGTTAATCTCATGGGAGGAGATTTGCCCATCCTTCTCCCATGGGGACAGCTGGTGGATTTGAACCACATGCCTTCAGGATTGCAGCACAGCTTCTTACCACTAGGCCACCTGAGCTCCCTGGTAACTGGTTAGAAATGTAAATTCTCAGGCCTCATCCAAACCTACTGAATAAGAAATTCTGGGAGTGGAGCCTAATCATTTGTTTAGAAAGGCATCCGGTCAGTTCTGATGTTTGAAATCCTGTAGTTCGATGACTGTTGCTATACAGGCTATGTATGCACAGGAGCAAGGGGCTGAGGGAATGGTCAGGCCTCTTTCTGCCAGCTAAGCCCTTTATCCACAGCTGGAGTCCCAGCCCTGTTCAACCCTCTCTCATGCCAGGATGTCTCGTGTCCCAAACAGTGAGGAAGACTCTGAAGGAAGATGATTCACAGGGCGGCAGGAAACAGGGTGGTCTGCCTAGAACCAGTTCCCATTTCCTGCAACACTGAGCTCCAAAGAAAAATCAACTGCACCCACCAGTTCAGAGAGCGGCGGCGGCTCCTGCTGACAGCTGCTGGGATCTTGGTTAGAAGGATGACAGCGGCGCTCGGCAGAGGAACCGCAGAGTTTAAGTGTCCAATCATTATGAATGGAGATGAAATGCATGTGTAATAACACCAATTACAGAGCCTTCATCTGTTATTCATGCAATGCCATTCACAACTGTCAGCGTATCTGTTGCTACGGTCTGGTCCAATGTCCCATGCTATAGCCTGTCCTGCTTGGTGGAGTAGGTGGGCTTCCTCCCTGAGCAGAGGACTGAGTCTCACAGGCACGTGAGGGAGGTCTGTGGCTCCAGGACAACTTGGCATCCCTGCTTGCCTACCCCATCATGATATCCACCTGGCTGTAGGCTTGCCTGATCCAATGAGGAGCTAGACCTGCCGCCCAGAGATGCTTTCCTTTCAGAACACACAATGAGAAGGGGAGAACACATTTGGCTCTTATTACTGCAAGACAGCAGAGAATACAGAAGGATCCTGGTAAACTAAACAAGAAGTAGCACCTCCAGGTGCAATAGGCAGAGCAGAAGAGGAGCCAGTTTGAGAGGGGAACTTCCGGAATAAGCATTAATTAACTGTCTAGTCTCTGCCTGGCGCTCTTTGGCACTCTGGGTGTGTTACCTCCTTCAGTCTTTCTAGAGGTCACATCATCCTGTTTTACAGAGGAAGTGAAGCCCAGAGAGGTTAGGTACTTGCCTAAGGGGGCGTAACCTGCAATGAGTGGAAAGCAGATTTTAACTCAGAACTATCGTGCTGCTGTCTTCACCACCTCCCCAAATCAGTTGCCAGAGAATTAATTCCAATTCTTGGAGATCTCTGTGTGCCTTGGTAAGGGTGTTGTGCTTCACGGGGTTTTCAAGGTCTGATCTCTGAGATGCTGCTTGCCAGATATTTCTTCTGAGGTACCTCTCGGTGGACCTGAACTTTCAACCTTTCAGTTAGCAGCTGAGCATGGGCAAGGTCAAATCATAGATCTAAGAAAGCCTCTACTGAATTATCAGTGATGCTCCCTGATGTCTGCAGCTGCGCCCTTAGGGATGTGCATCCTTGGCTAGGACAGCCCCCAGCACACTCTGAGACAGATCCCATGTATATTCTAGCATGTAAAGACTGATGAGAGGAGGAGGCTGGTGTGAGAGAGAACACCACAGAACACTACCCCCCCCATTACAACGTTTTTGCCTGAAGTTTCTACTGCTTCCTTCTGCCCAAGAAGGTAAATTTCAATGCATTTTCTTGCCTAATTTCCCCCTTTTAAGAAACAGGCTGCTCAGACAATACAAGCTGAGATGACTTAGTGACAGTGTCTGCATGGTAGTAATTCTGGGGCCAGGACCCTGGCACTGCCCACCTGCCCTCTTCCACCAAACAGAGGCAGTTGAGGGATTGAGGTCCGAGGTGGGGCAGCATACCCCAGCTCTGCCCAGGAAGCATGTGAAGCGGGAGTTTTTCTCTCCAAATAAAAGTTAGCCAGGAGACTTTGCCCACCTGGGAGCCCGAGCTTGAAGTTAATTAGTGATTTGGAAAAACAAGTTCAAGAAGAACTGCCAAGGGGCTGAGCAAAGGGCACAGCGAGGGGAGGGGCTCCCCTGGCCACTCTGTGCAGGACGAGAGGCCGCGCCTCAGTGGCCAGCTCAGAGGCTCGTTCCACAGCGGGAAGAGAATCCTTCAGGAATGGAGGTAGAAACCACTCCTCCTGAATTCCTGCAGTGTTCACGCATCTAAAAAGAAATGAACACTCACCGTTCATTTACTCCCCCCCTTTCCCCTTTCAGATGATGAAGGCAAGTAAAGGGGAGGGGAGGTTCCTATTCTTAGGGGAAATGAAGGCACAAGATGACAGACGACTTGCTCAGGATCAAACTGTACCAGGTCTCCTGACTCAGCTCCAAGCCCTATCCCCCACTCCCTCTGACAGAATGCTCTCCCTGGCCATACCTTTGGTGGGCCCCAATCTCCTGACACTTCTCTAGGCTCACACAGGAGGTGCAGGGAGCCCCAGAAAGCCCATAATCCCTGAACAGACACAGTCAGGTGCCAAGCTACTAGGGCCCCTTCAGGGCCAAAATTCTTCCTTTTCCCTTTATGCTACTCCCCAAACTCAATTAATTTTGTGAGTGGTTGGTTCTGAGGGCAGTCTGTGCTTTTCAGTAGGTTTTCCCTCTGGGGCAGGGATACTGACTGCTTCCTCCTTCCTAGCTCCATGGATTGGGCCTCCCTGGACAGAAAGGGGCCTGGGGAGGAGGCTGCTGCAGCAGCACCTCTCTCCTTTGAGGTCAAGCCATTTAATTTGACTCTCAATTCAGATCCCATCAGAC